AGCCAGCCACAGAGCGCCTGCAGGTAAGGGGCACTTGGGAGGCCGGGGGCCAGCCTGGAGGAGGAGGAGGTGTCCAAACCAGAGGCACCGAGATGATGCCTCTGCCCGCTCGCGGAGATTTGCCCAAAATGATCATGTAAGACGCATCTGATGTGAACATGATGCTGGCCAGCTTAGCCCAGAGCCCGGCACCTGGTCGGGGTAAGGGAACGATGAAATTGACAAAGGGGTCTTGCAACTTTTGGGTTGGGGATGTGTGTGTGCGCGTGTTGGTGCATACGTTGGACTTTCTGACCAGCTATTCTAGGTTGCATTCCAATGACACCATTCACTGCTCTGGGGTTAGGATTTTTGAATCCAGATTTTCTTTATTTCCTTTTTGTCTCCAGGAAAGACAGAACGAATAATTTGTGAAAGCATCCATTTGCCAACATAATTTGGAAATATTAAGCTTCGTTTGGTTTGCTCGTGGTATGCCACGTATTTTATTTCCCCACATTCATTAGCTCTCTCCCTTTATCTCCCCTGAACCCAAGCTCTCCCAAATACTTGAAAACCAGAAGTTTAGTTTTAATTATGTCCCCTGTCATCCCTTCAAAAGTTTTTCGCAGCTTTCTTCTGAAATGCCAAACTCGCTCTAAAGCTGGGGAGTTGGGAAGGGGTCAAAGCTTGAAAGGGATGTTTTTCCAAGAGGAGCTCCTGCAGTGCCACTTTGGGCCCCGCGGTAGCCCTAGTTGCAAGGTTCGATGTCTGTCTTTTGCTCACAAATATTCCCAAGAGGGCCGACTGTTAACTCTGCCAGACAAAAATCCACCGAGTCCTGCAGTTAAACGTTTGGCAGACTCAGAGCCACTTTGTTTCATAGTAACTTTCAAGAAGTGTTTAAGTGGCAAAATACAATCTTGTCGGAGGCTGAGCACATCCGAAGAGTCAGGACAGTGAGGCCAGGAGCCGCAGCTGGCCTGGGAGGGTTCTCAAGAGACATTCAGAGCCCTAAGCACAGACAGTCCCTCAGGTGCTCTGCAAGATTGACCTTTGCCTATGGTCTGCAAGCTGAGGGTTAACCTGCAGAGGGCATCCCACCCAGCAGAAACTCATGCCCCCCGACCCCCCATCTTTTTGTATCTCCTGGAGTCTTGATTTGTAGGGTATGTGTTTGCTTGAAAAGTCTGAGACCAATTCCATGGACAGAATGAACAAAAAAAACCTGGCCACATTAGCCTTGGAGCTGGGGAGCTGGGTGACCAATGTCCTGACCCGTACTTGTCTCACTAAGAGAATGTTAACATCCGGTCTCAAATGATTGGCAGGAGGTCACGTAAGCCTATTTTGGCAGTAGGACCAGATCCCCTTGGTGCATTTGAATTCCTTGTCAGTTCAAGGCATGGTTCTGATCTAAAGGAGCCGGAGGATTGAGGAAAGGTGGCAGAGTCCCCATCCAAACAAGGAGACTAGCTCTCAGAAAAGTCCTTAGATGTGGCCGAAGTTCCTTGAGGTGACTTATATAGCTTGGAGACCTGTGTCTCTAAAGAGTTTGAGGATTTTTGTCTCTTAAAGTTATACCTATCAGCCTGTTTCACTGAGGGAGCCTGGAACACTCTAGAACACGTGGCCCTGGCAGGCAGCGCTTTGGCTTGTGTTCCCCATTGAGATCCTTCCTTGTTGGAAGTGTCTCCTGTGAAATATGCACATATATGTTTGGCATGAGCCTGGTTTATTACCATTTGCATTTGCAATGCGTGTTTTTTGTTTGTTTGTTTTTGGCGGGGTGGGGGGAGGGGAGGTCATGTTGCAAGAGCCCA